ATCACGGCACCATGTTACGGCAGTGTGATGTTAAACTACATCACGGCACCATGTTACGGCAGTGTGATGTTAAACTACATCACGGCACCATGTTACGGCAGTGTGATGTTAAACTACATCACGGCACCATGTTACGGAAGTGCTGTGCTAAACTACGTCACGGCACCATGTTACGACAGTGTGATGTTAAACTACACCATGGCACCATGTTACGGCAGTGTGATGTTAAACTACATCACGGCACCATGTTACGGCAGTGTGATGTTAAACTACATCACGGCACCATGTTACGGCAGTGTGATGTTAAACTACATCACGGCACCATGTTACGGCAGTGTGATGTTAAACTACATCACGGCACCATGTTACGGAAGTGCTGTGCTAAACTACGTCACGGCACCATGTTACGACAGTGTGATGTTAAACTACACCATGGCACCATGTTACGGCAGTGTGATGTTAAACTACATCACGGCACCATGTTACGACAGTGTGATGTTAAACTACATCACGGCACCATGTTACGGCAGTGTGATGTTAAACTACATCACGGCACCATGTTACGGCAGTGTGATGTTAAACTACATCACGGCACCATGTTACGGCAGTGTGATGTTAAACTACATCACGGAACCATTTTACGGCAGTGTGATGTTAAACTACATCACGGCACCATGTTACGGAAGTGCTGTGCTAAACTACGTCACGGCACCATGTTACGACAGTGTGATGTTAAACTACACCATGGCACCATGTTACGGCAGTGTGATGCTAAACTACATCACGGCACCATGTTACGGCAGTGTGATGTTAAACTACATCACGGCACCATGTTACGGCAGTGTGATGTTAAACTACATCACGGCACCATGTTACGGCAGTGTGATGTTAAACTACATCACGGCACCATGTTACGGAAGTGCTGTGCTAAACTACGTCACGGCACCATGTTACGGCAGAGTGATGCCAAAACTATGTTTCTGGCGGTGTCTTCTCAGTTTGCCTTTAACTCAGTTCGCCTACAGCACATTTGCCTTCACTCTGTTTGCATACAGCTCAGTTCGCCTGCACTCAGCTGCAGCTGTGCTCAGAAAGTCTCAAACAGAAAGGTCACAGTACCTGGCAGTACACCCGTACCTGGTCACACAGGGTAGATCCCCTGAGCAGCGCTCTGAGTGATGTGACCAAATGCTCCATAATCAACTTTGTACTCCGCATATTTCATCTGATATACCTAACATATCATTAGTCGAATCTGTACCAGACAAATCATTGGTCGAGTCTGTACCATTCATATAATTTTCATCACCATGTTGCCCTTTAGGCCTGTTGTCGTTTGAATTTACTGTCCGCCGCGATATAACTGAAATATTGCGAACTGTTGCGTAAAACAACATAAAATCACACACTCAGGCAGCAGACGGGATCCGTGAAAAATAACTTATGTGATTACGTGAATACAACTTTGTGCAGTCAATCACAAAATGTGTATTTTCGGGATTGTGTACACCATACAAATAACCGTCCAGTGTCAAGGTAAACATCAATGAGAAGTGTAATGATTGGTTCTTTGTATCAAATACATTGCATTTATCCCTCGATAGGTATTTAATATGTTGACCGTTTGTGGTAATAGAGATTGGTGGTCAAGGGACTTTCGGTGAGCTTGGCAGGATCAAACTGTGGGGTAGCTTGAGGTCGTTGTCAAAACATTTACACCACACAGTTGGAAACAGTAGAAAGCATTGGTACTAAAGAATGTATGGAATTATGAGCCATTTTGAGATATTTTCGTTATTTATATAGTGTATAGGAAACGTTTACTTCAAACCGCGTTAAGGTCAGTGACTGGGTGAGCGTAACGATGCTTTGAACAGTATTTTAGTTATCCCCCGGCGTGTCGTTAGATTAATGGGGAACACCTACTATTTAAAATATTCCCACCAACCTGCATGTAAATATGGGAAAACGTTCTATGGCTTTCGTTGGGCGTCACTCGTCAGCTTTGAATGAATGAATGAATGAATGAATGAATGAATGAATGAATGAATGAATGAAAGTGTCTCTCATAAATATACATGAGTTATATACATCATAAAAACTATGTTTATATTTTTATGCAAGGCCAACATAGGAAACACTATACACTAAAACGTGTATTTTCGATACTTTTAACATAATTATAAAATGTACAGTAACTGTAAAAATAGAACTTTGGTAAAAAATGTAAATAATGAATAGAGTAGGCGATAATGCGCAACCTTGTTTTACACCAGAATCAACAGGGAAAACATTAGTCTGATAATGATTGACATGCACATAACACAACACATTAACATGATAAAAGACTTAATTGTTTGTAGTATATTACCAGTTATACCACACTCAGCAAGTTTAAACCATAAGAGATCCCTGTTCACAGAGTCGAACGCCTTTTTAAAATAAAAAATAATTTCTGTATAATACTGTAATACTGTAAATAGTACAGACATGGTCGAGAAAGGATCTATCCTTTCGAAAGCCGTTTTGCTCATCTACAATGAAGTTATTTAATTCAAGGTATTTACAAAGACGCTGGTTAATAATATCAGCAAATATTTTAGATGGTATTGACAGCTTTATATATCGTTATATGTCGGTAGCTGAGATGGTCCCGAGGGTCACTGTCTTTAGATGGTTTAGGGATAGGTTTTATTGCACCACGGTTCCATGTTTGTCACGTGAGCGGACTGAAAGCTGTGTGGTAACAATCTGTGAAACCGCAGATGGAATGTTATCAAGGCCGCAGGATAAAAAAGAATCAGATCGACCCCCACCCTCCCTTGAAATCGAGTGAGTGAGTGAGTGAGAGAGTGAGTGAGTGAGTAACCATGATCTATTTGTTTGCGTAAATTTCAAGTTTCAGTATGCTGAAGATTGTGCATGTATATTAAGTACTAGCAGCTCGGTTATTTGAAATGCCAATTGTTACCACCTTACATAAATGTGGTATGAATGTGAAAAACTATCACATCAGTGACGCCTGTAAACTGGCATGTTTCAATCAGAAATATTGAGCTTGTCAGGAAATACATCAATTCATTTATCAATTTATGACAGATGTGTGGCTGCATCTCGCTTTCTGGCATTGGTGATATCTCGTCTGGACTACTGTAATGCTGTTCTAATAAGGTTGCCCAAAACCAACATCGCAAAGAATTAGGGTGTTCAAAACGAGGCTCCAAGAGTGGTTACCCGACCTGGAAAGTATGTTCATTTTAACATGTACTCATGCGACACTGACATCCGAGTTTAAAAACGCTGGAAGAAGAAGAAGAAGAAGAAGAAGAAGAATCATGTCAGACAATAGATCCCACCACCCTTGCTCTTCCCTCAATCGCTTTATTTACCAATCATTATTGGAGGACGTGGTTTGATCAAAGTTGGGGCTCATCATGATAGAATTGTTTTGTGCACTTTTGCACACATTTCCTTGTCTGGTGATCCTCTTGTGAAGCATGTCAAGACTCATGATGAAAACAAGGCATTCCACAATTTTGACACTAATGTGATTGACAAGAAAAACATGGCAAATATGCGGACCTCGCTTTCGAAATGTCACGTTTGCATCCCAACTACCAAGTTGCCCGACTCCCAATTGTTCTCGGTGCCAATCTGTTGACTAACATTGGGAGAGTACCCGAGTCTGCTACCAGGAATACAGCCCCTCTGACAATCTGTGTAAAGCAGAAGGCTGAAGTGTTGGGGAGTCCTCACATTCTCCGAAAAGTTCTGGGTGGGTTTGACCAGGCAGCGCTTCCTGGGAGAAGTCCCATTCGCTGTCTGGGCTGCGTGTAGAGGGGGATGGGCCCTGAGCTGATGATGAGCCTAACCAGCCGGACTGTGCCAGGATCACCCAGACCCTCTTTTTTGCATTTTTTTATTTTCATCTGATGATGATAAATAATAATAATAATAATAATAATAAAGATGATGATGATGGTAATAATAATGCGCTGTACAAGGCACTTCATGGTATTGGTCCACACTGATACAGCGCCATCAACCAGTAAGATTATTTAGGTCTGGTAACAATCAACTCCTGGTTGTACCTAAAACCAGCACTAAGTCATTTGACGACTGATGTTTTACGAAGACCGGTTCAACACTTTGGAGCAACATTCCTATCGACATCAAGAGTGCCAAAGACATCAGTGAATTCAAGTGAGTGTTAAAAACACATGCTCCAATCCACTTGTAGCTCTCACTAGCTCTCTGTTCACTGCAAAAGTGCCATTAAACGGGTCCAATTTTGGATAATATAATTGTGTAGATTCTAAAGCATTCTGGACGACTTTTATTTCCCCACATAATGTGTCAAATGTAGTTGGTGAAATGATCAAACATCAAAGGGAGTAAATATGAAAAGTAATCCATTGACCAACAAAATAATTCCAAATCACCAAAACATCACAGTCACGTAAAGTCGCACTAAATATGTGTATTCACATAACAAAAGATAACCTTTCGCATAAACACACTAAAACACACTAGTAATACATGCCCAGTATTTACTAGTCATATATGTCATGCTTGATAAAAAACAGAGTAGATTATTTTTAAGACATTCTTCTCGCCTATTCAGTTTGATATTTGTATACAAACTTTACCTTTTTCATATAATTTACAAATTGTTGTAAGGTTAAATGAAAGCTGAAATATGTAATACAAATGACACCGCATTTGATGAACCTGTACGTCTCGAAAATAAACATGTATATGTGTAGAGCTCAAAGGGAGGCGTGAGTGTCTATCAACCCCTTATTACCACACAGATCTCCTCTCAAAGCTCTGCATTAATGAGGTACGCCTTTGCTTAGCCGTGTCAAGGCTTTAACCACGACAACTGAACCGTGCAAGCACATTTTCACTTGCACCAATCACAGGTCAGTAATTATCCGCAAAGACCAAATTACCTGAGCAGTCACGTGTCTCTACTTCCGATATCCCCTCTCCCCATTCCGAGGAAGGTTTTAATCTAAGTCCCAGGTCCGGCAAACCAGAACACTACCACGATTTACTGGCGCCGGACGCCACTCTCCGAGGAATTATACCATCTACCTGAATTGGTTACAAATCCAAACAGAGAAGATGACAAGTGAGTTTTTATATCTAATGTTATTTATTTATTAATTAATATCACACACACACACACACATATATTAATACACGAAGGAATTCTATGAATAATTCTCGAACACCTAACGTTTTTATAGAAATTCTGACACTATTTATTGTTTTACTGGTATCATATATTGATGTGAGAAAACTTTATATGTTTACTTTTTATCAATTAACAAACTTAACCGGAGTTATCAGCAAACCACTTTACTTTCCTCAGCCACTTTGACAAAAGGTCTAGGATGTTTTTTGTCATATGATATTGTTCTCAAATTGCTTGAAGACATCAGAGACCCCTGGTATATACCAAGGGAGTAAAGAAAGAGTTTTTTTATCTTGAATAGGCAAAACTGATTTATTCAAACGATAAAACTAGCCATTAAGGCATATTATGTTTACAAATCTATTCCTACTTTTCAATATACGTTCAGCTTTAAGATACTTGAAAACTCGTTAGAAATTATTGTTGATCGTGAACAACATTACTTGCTTCTTTATCGTTGTTAAATATTGATATCATATGATTTACTGATGCAAGTCCCAAAACAAACGCACAGTTGATATCAAGCATTGTTGAATATGGATATCATATGATTTAGTGATACAAGTCCAAAAACAAACGCACAGTTGATATCCAGATCTACCCGTGTACAGGTGTGGTCATTTATGTCATTGATATGTAAATATATAAACTCCCATCGCTGACATTAAAGCAAGCGTGAGAGTCCTAGTAGCACCTCACCATAATCCCCGGAATTAATCCCCCATTGTAATGTTCGTACCGCGTTAATACCTAGCTTCGCTCAATGTCAATACGTGCTAATTGGCCTTGTTTGAATCATGCCTTCTATTCAAGACATGAGCAAGCAACCAAGCATGAAAACCGGGACTGGTCAGCACCTTGCAAGTCCAGTTTTGGACCAGAAAAAAGCCAATTGTTTGGCAAGCTCCTATTGCAAATAACTTGTCATTCTTCTTTCATTGTTGCCTTGGGTGTCGTCTGGGGTTTGGGCACTTTGGTTGGGTATGGGGTCAAGGCTAGTGTCACGTGGGTAGGGTCTAATGTATGTGTAGGTATGTATTATTCTTGACCAGACATCGACCTCGGGAAGAATCGTGACTACAAACAAATGAAGATCTTCCAAGTCCCACAGAAGACTGAACAGTTCACACGACTTGTTCTCATGCTTGAAACTACCATCGACTGTCAGTCGGTTTTTATAATAACATTTCACACGAATGGAACATTTTTAGGATTAGGGATATAGTTCTTTAAGACAGAAGCTTTAAGTTTTGAATACTACGAACGCAATCTCCCAAGATGTGCGGAAGGATGAGGTTAATTGCGCATCCTTGCTTTATGATGCGAAATACGAACATATAATACAGATATATTACACTGGCCACTACCTAACATAGAAGCATGGCACTGCAGATCATATTTGACGCTAAAGGAACGCCAAAAAGAGAAAACGGTCTGAAAATGGCTGAGATTATGATGTCTTTCATGGTCATTTAGAAGTTGGAAGAACATGACGACATGGAACTTTATTGATAACAACTTCATTTTGGTTTGTAACGTTTCGAGGTTACTTCTTTTCCCTTCGTCAAGTGAATAATGAAGAGACTCGAAGTTTCCCTGAAACAGTACAAATAAAAACGATGAATTATCCCTAAAGTGTCATATGTTTCACTTTGATCAACCTCTAACTGACCAAATACTGCTTTAACATAATAATGTTGAAGTGCTTTCCGCCAAACGAAACAGTTCGTGACGTCTTGTGATCTGATCAACCAATCCACACTTTTACCACTCGGAATATGCTGTAAGCGACATCGAAACGACATAAGGATCTAGTCATCCAGAAGTGGCTATGAAACATTTACAAATTTGATATTGTACGCTAAATTACTCGAAAGGTCGAAATATCACTACCCAGTGGTAATTCTAGCCAAGAGATTTATTTTCACACTGGGATACACACCAGCTTGTAAAGAACTCAAATTAAGCATAGTATAGGGCCTCTCGTTTTCTTAGAAGTCGCATTAAGCCAATGTCCACATGCCTGGCGTCTAGCGTTACAATGGTTCCACTGGACCAGACCATTGACCACCGCCCACTCCTCTATTGAGCTATGACCAGGGTAACTTAACCCTGGTTCAGGGAGAGGGGTGGAGGGTGGTGTGTTTGTCTGCTGGACAGCATCCGTTGGATGTTGCACAAAGCAGGGGTCGGTCTTGTAAGGACTGGCCATTATAACTGGTGACCTTCTGGTCTCTACAGTGAAACCTTGCAATGTAACAAGTGACTAATGGCAAATGGTTATTTTGCATGAATAGTTCACAATAGTAATTGGATTGCTCTCATTGTGGTCTGAAAACCAAGTTAAAACTAATATAACCCAGGCTGTAGTTCACAGTGGACGTTCGGCTACCTGTGGCTTTATTTGAAGAGTGGGTAAATGGGCCGCATGCAGCTCTGAGACAAAATGAGAGACATTTTAGTTTATGATTGTAACATTGTCTTGTCACAGCTATTTTGTCTCTTTGCCAGTGGAATCTGTTTCGTCTGATAATCGATACTTGTTTTCCACGTTGACGTTTTATTTTTAGATGCTTTAGATAATCTATATAGTCGTTACAGGACGATGATAAAGCATAACTTCTTTAAGTGGCATTTGGTGAGTGAGTGAGGGAGTGAGTGAATGAATGAATGTGGTTTTACGCCGCTTTTAGCAATATTCCAGCAATATCACGGCGGGGGACACCAGAAATGGGCTTCACACATTGTACCCATGTCGGGAATCGAACCCGGGTCTTCGGCGTGACGAGCGAACGCTTTTACCACTAGGCTACCCGACCACCCAAGTGGCATTTAGAAGTTAGTATGCTGAACAAGGGAGAGAGTTCTATGGATATACAACTTCCTTATTACAATGATTGCGACGTTTCTGTGCTGATGCGAACAGCGTTATCAAGCAAGTGATTGTTGATGATGGCTGTAATTGCCACGAAGACGGCAGGTAACTTCTTTTACAGCACTTGCATGATAACGCCGTTCGCATCAGCACAGAAACGTCGCAATCATTGTAATAAGGAAGTTGTATATCCATAGAACTATCTCCCTTGTTCAGTGATAAAACAGTAACTAAAGCACACACTTTGAACTGGATTTCGAAACATATGGGTAGTGACGGTGAGTATATGTCTTACCTTTTCGCGAACACCTCGCATCATCACTATTTCGGAATCGTACAATAGACTCTGCTTTTAGCTGAGATTTCTATCGAATATGGAAAGGGGTTAGTCCCTTTTATTTCTTACTTTTCTTAAATTATTGTACAAAATATGGGAAATGTTTCATGTTTCGACTTTGGGTTCAATAGAACTTGCTTCGTACTCTCGGGTTCGATCGATTTATTCAGCTACTCTGGTCAGGACAGGATAAGCGATATGACATAATAGCTCTGGCCGCCAGATCCGTTTACCGCCTGATCCCGACTTACAATTAGGTTCATAGAAACAACATGTTTGTATGATTGGCAAATCGAAAGCAAAGTGAACTTTCAGTTTTACGTTACGGCAACGGTTGAAGCCGAACTAGTCAAGTCATCCAATATTTTAATATGGATTCCTACCGGCACCGAGATGACATAATGGGATTGAGGCGATCCGAATGAGTTTCGAAATGATATGTATGCTGGGAACGATAGATCACTCGCGATAAACGTATATTTGCACTGAAGTGATAGAGTGAGTTAGTATGGTTTTATGCCGGATTTTGTTTGTTTGATGTTGTTGCTTTTTTTTGCTTTGTTTTTTCTTCTTCTTCTTTTTTTTTTTTGGGGGGGGGGGGGGGGGGGGGCAATATTCAAGCAATATCACGACGTTAGACAACAAGAAATTGGCTTCACACATTATACCCGTGTGGGAATCGGGCCCAGGCCTACGGCATGACGAGTGGACGCCTTTACCACTAGGCTACCCCACCAGACATGGTAGAAGCCATAAGCTATATACTAATTATTCTCAGATTATCTCTATAATCTCGGGATAATTCTAGACAAGTTGATTCGTTATGAAAAATGAAGGTTTAATTACAATACCTCATACTGATATCGCTACAAAAAATCTAAAAGTCATACTTAAACTTGAAACTGACTTAAACATCACTTCAAAAACATCATACCTTATTTTGAAACTGACTTTAACACCCAGCAAACAAATCATGTTTATGGTAGTAATTTTGATTTGATGATCATGCCTTTCTTAATTGTTCATCGTTGTAGATAAATATCACAATCTTGAACAGTCAACCGAGGAGGTTTGTGAAGTACTTCTTAATGTTATTCATTGATAGCAACGAAGCGTTTATAATTCTCTTTCCATCGAGACGTTGAAATGACGAATTCTATGTAGCATGATGTCGTTAAGGGAACTTGTTTAACGTGTGTTTCGCTCGCAAATACAACCACGGAGTTTAATATTAAACATTTTTTAATGTACTCGAATTACTCGAATCAAATCGTTTTATCCGAAGTTTAGTTTCATAACTAGTATTGATCATTCGTTGGGATAAGCAACCTATGCTGGTCGTGCGTGGCGACCAAATGGATCGGGTGGTCAGGCTCGGCGACTAGGCTGCCTGCGTCTCATCGTACACGACGGCGTTGATCGTTGCTCATAATATCAATCACTTACTTTTTTCACAGACTCAAATATTTGGTGGTGGCCTTCATATTGCTGGAATATTGCTGATTGTGGTGTTAAGTTTATGAAATCTGTTTTTAGTACTGTACGCAAAAACAAGGTATGCCATATGTTTGGGGAACGTCTAACCGGGTACTATAGGGTTTATGCTGTAGGATTTCAAGTGATTATATTTTTATTTGTTAGTTCTACAGTAAGTTTGTTTTTGTTTTGTTTTTTGTAAAAATGTATTTACGAATACTGAGTTGAAACGAAAGTACGCACGAA